CTCCCTGCATCTGTCTGTATCTCTCTAAGAAGTACTTTTGCATTCCACTATTCAATTTAGGTTTTTCTCACCCTTTTCCACCTGCCCACTTTGATGCAGGCCCCCCTGTTTTCTCACACCACTTAGCGCTGCCTAAATATTTCTGGTCTTTGTTTTGTGCCAGTCCTTCTCTTCACTCCATTTTTTTTTTTTGTTTTTGTTTCCAGAGACATGTCTTGTTATATTCCAGTATATCTCTAGATTTTCTCAATGTTAAATTATGCCATTCTGGCATATTTCCATCACTTTCTTTGGGTCCTGTTTCTTTTCTGTTCCAAAATTCAGTATTAATTTATTTCAGCTTGTTTTAAATCATACTCCCACTTCTCCTCACGTCCTATTTATTATTTTCTTCCATCAATCGAGAATCACTATTGCATCCCGTGCCCCTGTCTCCCCTGCATTTGTATTTTATGCCTCATCTGAAGATCTTATTGCATCTTGTGCCTCTCCTCTCTACCTCTGTCCTTCTTATTTGTTTCCTGTCTATTTCTATCTTTCTCACCCTCTTGCCAGCCCCCTCTTATTCATTTGGCATCCGTCCCTCCTTCCGCCTCTCCCCGGCACTCACTTTCGCCTCAGATATATTTCTGTGTACACATTAAGTCTCTTTTCACCTTAATTCTAAGCCGCCCTCCCTCACATCTCTTCTTGTTATTAAACTTCCTGTAGATCGCCATCTCGCATGTAGAATTTTTAAAATGTTTTCCCACTGCCTCAACTGGAAGGGACATCTGAGGCGGAAATCCATTCATTGTCAGCCTTTCCTGAATTACTCTGCATTGCCCAGAGTAAGAACTGCATTGTTCATTTGTTTGCCTGTGAGTCACCTGCAATATCTCAGACACCATTTACCAGATTTGGACAGTTGGACAGTTTCAGGGAAATGATGCATTTCACCTTAAAATTTCAATCTTCCCGAGGGAGGCGGCCATAATCACAGGTCAGTAAAAGTAGCATGTTGGCTAATTGCTGGCCCAAAGGTCTCCCTGCATCATTTATCGGTGAGACATGTTTATTGCTGCCTTGTGGTTTGTCCCCCTTTTCTTCATTTTTCCCCGCATCCTTTCACGTCACATATTGTCCTTCTTAAGTGTATCTTTTTTAAGCCCCTCACTCTCATCTCGCTCGCCTCTTCATTTTAGCTTTCATTCTTCGTCTTACGCTCTTGTTATCTAACATTGTGTTTGCATTTCTCCTCAGTCCTCCTCCTCCTCCTCATCCGCCTCCTTCTCAGCTGCTCTTTGTCTCTCAGTATGCGCTTCTGTGATGGTGGGTATGCAGGCATACATTTTTGTGTGTCTGTGTGCGTGGGTGCTTTCCTGAATGTCTAAGCATACCGACTGACCAGCTGTCAGCAAGGCCGCTAACTGAGATGCCGCCTTAATAGTATTACCTGATCTTCAGTCTTTCAGCTGGCAAACTGATCACTGGATAAGGCTATGCATAATCAACCGCTGCTTTATTTACCTCTGATAATTAACCACAGCTAATTAAGGACTGGCACTTACAACTTCATCGCTTTGCTGTAATCTGATCGGTTACTTACTGATTGCTTTGCTCTAAAACTGCTCCACCTAGTCATTAGCTTTGCTTTCTGTTGCCTCGGGAAAGTTGAAGAAAAATCATTTGTTCCAAAGGAGGCAGAACGAACTTCTTCACAAGCAAACCACTGGAAGGAGGGCTATGCTATCTTTACAGAGAATTTCATAAGAGGAGGTAGACCTGCGCAATGCTAATTACAGGAAACACTTCATATCATTGTCTGCAAAGAAAGAGCTCATAGGTCCAGGAACAACTCCTGCAGAGAAGCTGCAGTGACTAACAATAGAGGACAAAAACCAAAGAGGCCGAGACACACAGTGGACTGGGCACCGCCGGGCTGCTCCAGAGTTCACACTAACACAGGTCGCTTTATGTAAATAGATGGTGGGCTCTTGTTTGGGGATGGGGACGTTATGACAGTCATTAAACTTCTCATTTGTATTCACAGCCAAGGGACCAAACACGTTTCCTTTAATGGTTACGCAGGAGAGCGTGAAGACGGAAAAGGACCAATGATCTCCAACAGAAGAAAAGGAGGCAACTTGATGCGGATCTTTTCAAACTTGCTGCTCAGGCTCACGTAGACTAACATGTTAAACAGGTTAAAAGCCCTTCCCCAAGCGTAACTTCAAACAGATCACCTGAAAAGGTATATATTAGAAATTTTGTACATTCGGAGAAAAACAAACCCTCCATGGTTTGATTTATCTGTTCGGGATCATGGAAAGTGCATTTCTATGACATCATCTAATTACACTGGTTGAAACGGTCGAAAAAACAGCAAATTATGGACAGGCGAGTTCCCATGCCTGCATAAAACGGTTCTCCCTATCATTTTCCTATATCTTATTTTCATGCCACGGAACAGGCTTGGTGCAAATCCCGTCAGGATTTGAGGTGAAAAGGGTTGTGTTTATGTGTGTGCGTGCGTTTGTGTTCGTGTCTGTGCGGACATGTATGCCTGCAGAGATCCATTTGTGCATCTGTCTGTCTGTATATATACATGCATATATATATATATATATATATAAATGCATATATCGGGCTGAGGTGCAGTTTTGTTCTACCCTGTCTTTCTTTCTGTTTACTCATTCAGAAACTCAGGTTGGTATGAAATTAAAGGTCTGCTCATTTAAGCCCCGATAGAGTTTTGACATAAATGTCGGCGTGGAGAAAGCGTTTCCACAAAAACATTTGATTGCAATGCAAATGACAATTATGTTTGCTGTCCCTCTCAGCCTGTTATCTTGCCACCGAGCCAGAGAAAACAATTGGACTCTCAAAAAATTGATCCACTGGGATGAGCGCTCTCCATGAATACAAAACACATTATTTTGGATGACCTGCTTGACACTGAATAGCACACAATTACCATGTATATATGCCTTTCTGTATTTGCTCTGTGTGATATGAAATGGTCTTTCTGTTTGGACAGAATTCTAAAACGCCAGAATGCATTGTGAATACTCAAAAGCCCCGAGCACAGAATGCCTGTAATATAAAAAAGACTCCTCTTGAGTGTGTGACTTTTGCAAGAGAAAGTAAATAATACTCAGAGTTTATGTAAACCTCTTAGCAAAATAGCAGTGTGGGTGTCTCATACTGGCAATTATTCAAAGACGAAGGACAACAGAGCACAGACTCACACCTGGGTTAACAGGTGATGCAAATAGATATTAGTGCTTTAATCTGCTCGGAGCGCCAGATGAGTGGGATGCATCTGCACCGTGACAATTAAACTGTCAAATAAACTGTTGATTTGCGTTCAGCAGTCTACCTGGCAGATCAATTATCTTGTTAAACTGTCAGCTAGTCTTCTAGAATTCCACGTTTTCTTGTGGCTAAACACCAAACTGTATGAGGCGTGTTTAAACACAAGCAGAAAACCTTAAAAGCTTCGCCTCACAGATGCACTGAGCTTAACGGGCTGTAAGAAAGCAATAATTTCTTTCACTCTTCTGCTCTTATATGCTGTGGAATGAGACACCTTTCAGATTAAGTCTTACAGTGTGGTTACATCAGGAGTGTATCCTGCACCCTCTGCGCTACTTCTGCGTTTTCTTAAAAATCAGCCAAACATCTGCGGAGTTTATCCGATCCTGTCCCTAAGTCTTATTTACATCCTAAAAAAGGAATCAATCCTCCCATCTGAACTCATTATCCTGAACGGTTTCCCCCCACCCCCTTTTTCCCCCCAACTTAATTTAGATTTTTCATGTTTTGAAAGCTGTTATGCTGCTAATCGGGCATAGCAAATAAAGTGCTGTGTCAAGTAGAAGCAGGCTTGAAAACCCCTTCTGGCAACAAGGCCTCAGTTAGCTGAACAAGCAGCCCACGGTCCTGATTATCCATGTCAATGGAACAGAAAATGAGAATAAAGATTTGCAGTGTAACTGACAGCAAGAAGGTTGCATGCTTCCAGTTAAATCTGCAGACTTTGTATTTGGCCATGTAGAGCTCTTTACCATTCAAATGGCATCCACAGTTTGAAAACTAGTTCCTATTTTTTCTTCTTTTTTTAAATTTTCTAACATCCAAATATAAGCCCTTAAAGTAATGATAGGAATCACACAGTCATGGTCATCATTAATGTCTGTCATCATGCAGAAGAGCCGTTGGAGATAAATCTACTAGCAACAGTTTGAAGAATCACTATAAAAACATACCAGATGTTGCTCAACGAGTTCTCAAGCTAGGGGTGTTGCAATTCAATGATAGATAGGGACATATGAGAAAGGAAACACTAATTCAACTCATTCGATGGTTGAAAACTGAATGCAAGTGAAACACAAAATCATCTTTTGGATACTGTAATGTACAGATTTTGTTTATAGTGAGTTGCAGAGGCAGCAGCATGACTACTATTAATTTTATGATGTAATGTGTTGTTCATGTTTCCAGGTTAGCCCAAGTAAAAGTCTAAACAACTGAAATACTGTTGCAAGTTCACTATAGATGTAGCCATATTCAAGGACGCGCTTTCCTGCTTTGCAACACGTTTTTAACAATCCACTAACGGAACAAAAGCATTGACTTTTGGTAGTTTATAAAAAGAGCTATCAATTACAGATTTATTTGAATGCAGCTGCTACATTAGGATAATGTGGACGCACGAAAATCTGCAACATATGACATGTATTTACACTTAAAGCATAATAAAGTTACGATTTAAAAAATCTGGCATATAAATCACAGCAACCCCTCTGTGTGTTTACCCAGACACCCTGTACACGCCGGAGTGATGACACACACACACACACACACAAAGCACGCAAACTCGCAGAGAAACCTGTGCAGCTCGCTTCTCTCGGACAGCCCTCTGATTGGTCTCCTCCGCCATAGGAGGCGTGACACGCGGAGGTGGGCGTTTCACAAAACCAAACTCCACTCAGCTCAACCTCTCATTCACTACGGATTTGTCGAGTAATCTCAGTCTCCCTTCACTTATTTTTTTTATTCCTTTGCGAATATACAGAAATCTCTCTCAGATCTGCTGCGTGCGTTAAGTTTTTTAATTAACAGGTTCACGGATAAGCTTCCTTCGGCAAACTTTTAGGTTTTCTTTTTTTTGTGCACAACCTACCTGAGTTGTGTTCCGTCTCTGCACGCCTTCACTCCTCTCCACCATGGATTTGGTTTGGATTGTGGGCTTCGTTGGGAGCGTCTGCGCCTGGTTTGCTTCAGCGGAGCGGCACAGTGTCTACTGGAACAGCACAAACCCAAAGTAAATATGGTTTCCATTTACGCTAATTTAGCGCACTCTTGTTTCTTAATCGGTTCAACAAACTGATTTACTTTTGGCGTCAAACACACTTTTAACCGCATTTGCAGTGTTGGCAAAGCCGTTATCTTATATTCAGATGCACGCTGAATAGTTGCAGCTCATGTATATTCAGCGAGATGCCTGTGATGAGCGCCTGATAGAATCGACTGTCTGTTGTTGTCATGATAATGCGGGACAGTTAGGAGTATCTTCCCTCTTCGCCTCTTTCTGAGCTCTAACCTGTTATCGTGGTGTTGTTTACCTGTAATTCTTTGTTTAAGCTGTCCAGATTTAATCCGTTTCGCAATCTGTGTAGCCTACCTGCACAGCAGCATCAGTTACACCAGGTTATGCCATCTGTTTATCTTTCTGGGCTGATATTGAGGCAGTTAAATAGTTCACGCTTAGTAGGGAAGAGAGCTGCTTTAAATGTAAATGCGGGGGGAGTAGAGGAAACAGCGGGTTTCTGAGGTTTAGGACATTAAATCTTTGAATACTGCTTGTTTTATCTTGCCTGCATGTCAGCATGCGGATACAGTGTTTTTGTATGTGCGTGTGCGTGCAGCAAACATGTCAGTAAACTTCTCTTATGTCTGTATTCATGAGTTGCACTTCTACCCGGGTTTGGATACAACTTTTCCCTGGCAAGGGTTGTATTTTTCTTTTTCCCTGTTGATTTTTACAGGCTTGACTCACTGCAGAATGTGTTGAAAGATCTGTTGCAATATCCTCCCCATCTGACACCGAGTCCTAACCTCTGAGTAGAGTGGGAGGTTGCCATATCTCCTAAATCAAGAGATATCACTTGGGTTCTTACGTGGCTGTCAGAGAGACATAGGGGTGTTCATATTTCAGGTGGTAAGACGAGTAATAATGGTGTATGACAGTGACAGAGGAGGTAACTTGAGGCCTGCCCAGTAGGTCACGCTGTGGGAGAGAGATGGATTGCTCAGGGAGGAGAAATTGGAGCTCAAATTGTCGGGGTTAGGGGCCATTTGGAGTAAGTGGGGGTCAATTAGAATTATGGTTGATGATGGCTGGGGTGACATGGCTCGGGGTACGTAGAGGGTTAGGTTTTCACTCCACAGATGAACCTCTACGTGCACCCCTACACAAACACACACACACAATAACACGATAGGGCAAGCACAAACAGGTACTCCTGGCAGGCAATCCCTCAATCACAAACCAGCATGTTCAGTCGCACCAAGTGACGCCGTCTGAATCAATCAGGGCTGGGCTTACACACTTTCCCTCTGGTGGGCAAACACATATTGTATATTCAAGCGTTCTTCCACACAAGCTTACATTCAACCACTTTCTCCCTCCTCATTTCCCCTGTGGTTAAAACAGCAGTTGCTGTTCTCAGAAAGTCCGTAATTACAACGACAAAGCCTTTCACAGGAAATCAGAATGAAGTCCCAGATGGAAAGGCGTTCTGCTGTGTCCCTGCTGTGGAATGACAGTGATCATTCCCATATATATACTGATAATCCGTCTTTTTGCACTTGCTTTTTTTTTCCAGATGACTGTGCTAAATCTCTCCCTTTAGCTACTCTTAATCCTGTTTTCACAGAAAAAGCACGAGAGTTTTTATTTGGTGCTTTTCATCATTCACCGCAATCTCCCCTCCCCTTTGACCTGTTACTTGATAGCGTGTTTTCTTTTTGTTGGTCTGGGTTAATTGTTCCATCCAATTGGTCAGAGAGCCATCGTTAATCAAATTGATCTGAGATTGATCACTTTAGTCCATGTGGTATATACTCATTTCCTTTTTTTCCCATGTGGGTGTGTTAAGGGATTTAGCAATAGACACACACACACACACATACTCGCACACATACTCACACAGTTTCCCTTCCTAACATGCTTGTGTGCACAGCTTGGGGCCTGCTGACTTCCAAGACTTCCAAGGTCATATCTGCCTGTACCTAAGGACTACTTTTTATGTTTCAGCACAACAAAATCTCCTACTGTGTGTGTTTGTGTTCGTGACCTTTTTGCTTGCTGGCATATTTGCGACCTTTGTTTCTGATTAGCAACAGTTTAATCACCAGCCAGGTTTGACTGCCAGAAAGAGGCTCACCAGCGTTCAGCTTTGGTCCCGGCATGCCAGTGTGTGTTTTTTATAAAGGGAGTGTCTGTACATAAGCTTACTCACATACACAGCATCGCCAGATTCAAGTGACTCACCCGCTCTCATACACATTAACCCAGTCACACACACACACACGCACTACACATTTGGGATTGATGTTGACATCGGCCCAGGAGCCCTCTGGACTCTACAACTTCGATGTGAGGCAATAATCTGCTCTTTCAGTGCTTCTTACTTCCTTTTCCCTGTTGACAGAGCATGAGAGGACCACCACCTCCACCACCCCCACCTCCTCCTCTGCTTTGTACCTGTCTCTCCCTCTCTCTGGCACCTCCCTCCCCCTCTTCTTGGCCAGGTTCCCTCTGCAGCCTGGTTCTGTGGGCTCTGTGAATCTGTTAACCGTTTCATGGCACGCTCACACACACACGTTTGATCTCAAAAAAGTCTTTTAACTAATCTCTTATAATTCTGAAGTGATTTTCAGAACAGCTGTTTGATATTGGGTTAGCTGGGTTTCCAAGTAGTTTCAGCTCACCGTTCCTTCGTTAAACTGAGCTTGCTTCCTGCTGGCTCACGCGAAAGTTATTTAAGGTATGTTTCACCCGCATGGAGCATTTTCTCGGTTTTTATCCGGTCAATGTGGCTTTTTTGTGATGCTCCCCATACAAATTGGGGCTTGCTCTTCACGGTGGGCCACAGAAAGAGAATAGTAACTGGTGTGACTGATCGAGGGTCAGAGTTCGCTATGTGATGAAGTGGCACGGCCTCTATCAATCTGTCAGTCATTCTGTCACGTCGGTGGTCCCTGAATACTGGCTGCCACTCAGGCCAGCCCCTCTTCACACAGCCGTGGCTCTGCCTCTGGGAAACTCTCTTTCTTCCCTCTCCTGTCTTTTCGGTCCCCTTCACTCCTTCACCAGCTTTTATCTCAACTTTACAAGCTGTCCCTTTTCAGTCTATTATTTCCTCACCTCCAGCTCTGGTTCTCAGAGAAGGGGAGAAGGAGGGAAGCATGGTAAGAGGTGTGGAATTTTTTTTTTTATTATTATTATCGTTCTTGGCACCCACAGCGAGCCGTCACAAGGCACTTTGCCCTTTCCTTCAGGGAAAAAGAACCCCCCCCTCCACTCACACATACACACACTTTGCACTTTACCTTTAAAGCTTCCTTCTTCTACTTCCTTAAGAAAGGCCACTCCAGTCTTCCCAGCAAAACTGTTTTCGCTCTCCTTTCGGCCTTTTAACGTGCCCCTCTTGAACGTCTTGCTAAACAGTGGAAATGGTGGAGCCTGTCTCAAGTTATTAAAGGAGAGAAATGAGAAGGAGAAAACACAGAAGTGTATGTGTAGGAGTAAGTAAAAGTGTCTGTGTGGGTGCATCCATGTTTGAGAGATGAAACATAAGACTGGCTAGTCCACTGGCGTGATTTGGTGGGGGCAATAGATATGAGATGTTTGCAGTTTCCAATTTAAATGAATTTTATTCTTTTTTTTTTTTTCTTTTCTCATATACATCCAGAACACTTCACTTTTCAAATCCTAATCCAGCTCTAACCCCCTGGAATACCCTTCCCCTCCCCCTTCCCTTTAGTTGGTCTCCATATTTCTCTCAAAGTGTCCGTCCCCCTCCCCCCTCACCACTCTTAATCTGGCTTTGTAATCTGTCTGGTGCATTCAATCTGGAAAAAAAATGCTGCATCGTCAGGCAGATGGTAATAACCTCTTTTGGGTTCAGTGACCACTCAAGTGTGTTGATGATTCCCATCTTTACAGTCTGCAATCATAATAAAATTTTACCTCAGTGATCACATTGATAAGGTTCTTCTTTGCCTTCCAGCTCACTTGTTCTTGCAGAGTCAGAACAGGAGGGCTTGTTTTATTGACTGAGCTAGATAGTAAATCGGGCCAAAGGTTTTTACTTCCCGCAGGCGTGATGTTGGTGTTACTAAAGTCTGCACGCTGTCTGCTGTGTGTCTCCTGCGAAGTGTTGCGCTTCCTGGTTACGTTTTTCCCGGGAAAACAGCGTATCCTGTCTGCACAATAAACAATACATTTCTCACACACCAGCACACGCAAGGGTTTAAAGGTCTGGATACAGGAGCTGATTGAATTTCCCAGGCTCACATTAGAATGAACACATTTAGAGTAAATAGCTGAGCAGGTATTAATTGTTTAATTAGGGTTTGTGTTCCAACTTTCAAGCCAAAAGGATGATTTGGGATCTGCCTCCTGTCCCCGCCCCGCTGTCAAATCGCTGCATGTCTCTATTTGGGATTCTCCTCTGATCAGTTTCACCTCGTTTGACCTCGGCCAGTGTTTCTGCCCTCTGCCCGTCCTCATGCTTCTTTCTTATCTACACACCAGACTTCCCCTGCACCTTCCCGCTATGCTGCTCCAATCTGCTCTGCTTTACAAGTGTTCAGTCCCACACATAAAACCAAGGAGGAAGAAAAGCTCCATTAGTACACAGATTTATGATTATGTTGCAATTACAATTGCGAACAGACCTCACACTCTCTTTATTAGATGTGTCTGAGCCAGAGATTATGTGTGCGTGCGTGCGTGTGTCCTTCAGACTTGTTTGTCAATTCCTGGTGGCATTCAGTGCACGATGTGTTTGATTGAGGAAGAATTGGCCAGCAAGAGTCGGATATTATCTCTGAAATGAACCATTGTGGTTGTTTTTGTTGTGTAAATATCAGCTATTGTGTAACTTTTTTGTTTTTCCTTCTTTTTTGAGTCTGTTTGTTAAAGGTCTAGATGTAGTGTTTAAACTTGTCTGCACAGCAACTATCACCACCCCTGCAGGTCAGCTGTATTACCATAATTTCTACTTGACGTCATAAGCAAGAGCTACCATTTAG